AGAGCTCGTCGAGTTGTACTTGGAACCCGGCTGGAACACTTGGAACATGTTCCTGGACGAATATGGGCAGGTTTTAGTAAGTAGGTTAGGTTTTTCCTATAGAAAAAGAGCAGTATTTTGGATTTTTCTCACGATTGGTTTGGGCTATGGAAAATCTAAAGTTACCATTAGATAGAGCTCGTCGAGTTCTACTTGGAACACTTGGAACACTTTCCTGAATGAATATGGGAAGGATTTACCCGAATATGGTGCTAACTTCACCTACGTCGAGCATATCATCTTACTCATTTATTATTGACTTAAATTTGACGGAACATCTTTACTTTAATCATATCAATCACCTCACTCAATGTTGTATGTAAGTGAAATACACCAATCAGTTTGAGAGTGTGATTTAAAGTGAAGATGTACCCTTGAGGAACATGTTTATCTTTGCTTCTCTAACTTTGTTTCGTACCTATTCTACTCTATAATAAAAATCAATAAAAATATGCTACACATTTGTTGATGTAATTACGTACATTTGTTTGAAATAGTTTTGAGTTTCGTGGCAAATCTTTTCAACGAATGTAACTAAATAAGTGTGTGGGAATTTTTTAGATGGACGACATACGTGACCGTATGATGATAGTCGAGTGAAAAAAAAAGCGATGAATGACCTTTCTTCATTCTCCGTTTCAACAAGGAGAGCGAAAAAAAAGAAATGTACGTATCGGTTAAAGGAAGAAAAAAAAATCGGAGGTGTATAAGCGAATAATATAGCTCAGTCGTCCAGCTATATTCATCAACTGTTTGCTGTTCTGTATAGAAAAAACAATGTAATTGTAATATTGATCGAACAGTTGTTTTTTCTCAATTAATTCTGACGCAGGCTAATTGATGACGGTTAATTTGAGAAAAAAACTGTAATATTGTTTGAACACTGAAAAAGGCTGTTCTTCACTATTCATAAAAAGTGTTTGCCCGGTTATCTATCAATCACTTTTTGATCGACAAAAAATATTCGTTACGAATCGATCAAAATGAATTTAAACTTGTTTAAGTCCCCTGCTCCCCCACCCTCCCAAAAAAAAAGTCAATTTTGGGGTGTGGGTGTGGGTATGGGTGTGAGTGAGTGTGGGTGTGGGTATGGGTGTGAGTGAGTGTGGGTGTGGGTCAGTGTGGGAGTTAAAACTAGCCGAGTTATAACTCAAGTTATAACTTTTGAGTTATAACCGATCAACTTTTTGGTCGAAAAGTAAATTTAGTTATAACTATCAACCGTAGTTATAACTTTCAACCATAGTTATAACCTTTAACCGTGGTTATAACTTTCAACCACAGTTATAACTTTCAACCATGGTTATAACTTTTAACCGCGGTTATAACTTTCAACCGCAGTTATAACTTTCAACTTCATTAACTTTTTAATGTTTTTGCGTAAAGTTAATTGAGTTGGAATGACAATCACTTCGATTTATTGACATACTCGATAGAATAGAAGAAAATACCAACAAACTCGTTCTTCCATCTTCCCACATTGTCAGACTCTTCGGTATCATAAGATCTATCTCCCCGTTTTAGAAACTCTCGGGAAAGATATCATGTATCGGACCTAATAAAAGACCTTCCCAGCTTTAATTAATAGTTACAAACTATTAAATCAGATGTTGATATTTTTTCAATGTCAACTGCATATTTTCATCTTCTTTCACTAAATAAAGACCTAAAGCTCTATATGTTCTTGAAAATCCTTGACGACCTCACAAATCATGGAAAAGCTGTGAAGAAATCTCGAAAACTAAGAAGATTTTTCATAAATATTTTCAACTGAAATCTGTAGAAATATGTCTATCATGACAGAATACCCCAGGAAAGTGTGTATGTTTGAATATAATACAAGATTTCATTTTTTTCTATTGTGAAGAGATTATTTATAACATTCTTTACTTCAGAAAAGCAGTAGTTTAGCATCTCTTCAACACTTCTTAACGTATTTATCTATAGGTGCCGCTTTGTTCATTTATCTGTTGAATGATAATGAGACAATTGTTTCTTTTTTGAGCGACGTCAAGAAACTTTTCTATATTGAGAACTATGAGAGAAATTCAGAATTACAATGGCTTTTATTAAAACTATAGTAGTCAAGCATACGCAATTTTGAATTACAACTGTGTCTTTGGAACTTTTGTACTAAAGCTGAACCCGTCAAAATTTACAGTTGATACAGGCTTCATCTACAACTATTACACCAACCATGTTTACAATTATGAACTGTAGTTATAACCTTTACCTTAGGTTATAACTATCCACTCTAGTTATAACTTTCGACCACAGTTATTGCCGTGATTCCTATTAACTACAACCAGTCTTATTACAATCCCTAATCTGCAAGACTTTTACATTTGGCAGGACTTTGAAAACACTGAAACTAACAGTTACATCTATGCGCACAGATAAGATGTGTTTTCCTAGACATTAACATGACTTGGTTTACTTGTTCTTCATGAATAATGCAGCAAGTGTTTCTCCTTATCTTGAATTTATAAAACAGATAATGATTGCATCTTCTATTCTGTCAATTCTCTTCAAATTTGGCTTTTGCTGCCACCTTAATCTCTTATTCTTCTACTTTTTTTGCTTCGTTCATTGATATGTCAACGAAAAAAATTAAGAATAAAATAGAATACTAGATGTACTAATATAAGTAGTAATGAACGTATAAAAGCATACAAAGAATAATCTGATACGGTGATTTTGTATGAAAATAAGCCATACGTAATTATATTAACAAAGGCTTTAAATAAATCTGAATTATGAATAAAATGTTCATGTCTAAAAATAATCTTATTCAATAAAAAAAAAAAACTTCCTTCCTAAATAAATAACTAATGCTGCACAATGAGAATAAAGTGTTTTCAATATACCATAATGAACAGCTGGATATTATCGAGCTAATTTCGAATTTGTTAATTGAAGATGTTTAGCAAGTAATTGAAATAATGGTGGTGAAAGTGCATACATCTACAGAAAATAAACTATATTTCCTTATCAAAAATCTTGTTTAATAACATACTCCAATGAAATTTCCCTTCACATTTCCGATTTAACACAATGCACTACAATAAAAAATCAATGCTGTTTCTGCATCATCTTTATTTAAATCACTCGTGGTTGGAGATGATAATGTTTCACTACCAATAACAATTGCTTTCTGTTGAAGTGCTTGTAAAAGTATATTCAAATTCGTTGTCATCTCAGCTAAAATAGTTTGATAAACTTGTTGAACAACTGGAATACTTTTGATTGTTAAAAGACGATTAAAAAGATGTTTTACATCTTGAATATGCTAGAAGAAAATAATCGAAAGAAAAATCATAAAGAAAATTTTGTTTTCTAATCTTACAGAATTCGAATATAAAAATCGCTAAAGGCATATTCGAGAATTGGCTGCAAATATTAAACTTGCTAATATTGCACATGAAAAATGATCAGCTAAATCAATAATTTTTAAAATTAAACGAAGTAAATTAGCATCGGCTTCATATGGCCAATCTTGTCTATGAAGAATGGTTTGTTGAATAACAAAATCAAATATATCTTTTTCAAGTTGTTCATCAAATTGTGTAAACGTTTCTAATAGAATACAAACAGCTATATTGACATGTTTAGCTAGAATACTAAAGAATTTATCTTGTTTAATTATTGTTGTTGTATGTAAAATTTTTTGTAACCAAATATCAACATATTCAATTGAAAGTAAAGTTGATGTTCAAGCAAAATCATCGGAAAGTGCACGAAGAACAGTAGCAAAAGCTTTGAAATATAATATCTTCGGTTAGCCGAGTAGATGTGCTGCACTAGATATCTAATCATCGGAGTCAATTATTATAGCGGTAATCTGTATAACTCTTGAGTTTAATGGTCAAACGCGAAACTAATTTCGTGCACTTATATTAATAATGTTTTGAAAATTATCGCAGATGACTAGCTATATCCTTTATAACGAGGGAAGGTTCCCAAATGTGATGCTTCGATTCGAATCTGACATTGGCCATTTTATAGAGCTCAATGAATACAGCGCGTGATATAAAGGGTTCGTCCCTATAATGACTGACGATAAATTGTTAATGGTATTTTTCATACTTTATATTGAGGTAGTAAGTTGAAATTTTTATCACATATATATCTAATCAAGATCTTTTATTTCTGAAAGTTTCAGCTCTCTAGCTATAATTAGTGATGAAACACATCGACAAGATTGAACCATATATTTTCCTACGAGATTTTTGCATCATTATCATTGTAAAAATAATGTAAAAATCTCGTAGGTAAATATATGGTTCAATCTTGTCGATGTGTTTCATCATTAATTATAGCTAGAGAGCTGAAACTTTCAGAAATAAAAGATCTTGATTAGATATATATGTAATAAAAATTTCAGCTCACTACCTCAATATAAAATATGAAAAATACCATTAACAATTTATTCTCAGTCATTATAGAAGGTCCTTTGTGTTACCTCGTAGTTCCTTAAAAGTCCATTATAGGGACGAACCCTTTATATCATGCGCTGTATTCATTGAGCTCTATAAAATGGTCAATGTCAGATTCGAATCGGAGCGTCACACTTGCGGACCTTTCCTCGTAAGAGTGAGATATTAGAATAAGTATATCGGATAGAAAAGAAGAGTTGCATTTTGAGAAAGAACGATAGAGAAGATACAAAAGATGATCTTGTCGTCTTTTGAGTTCCCCTCGAACGTCAGTCGTAATTTTAGAATTTGATCACATGAGCTCCTCTAAGTAAGTTGTTTAATTGTTCGGGATAAACTACCGAGCATCGACGTCATTAGGCATGGAAAAGTTACTAACGGTTGACGGCATATTGATCCTTGTGGTTAGTCAATTTGTTTGGAAGTTAAGATGAGTCTGAGTCAGGTCGATCTATTATTCAGAGTTAGAAGCATCGATCCACGTTACACCGTAAGGTAGCTAATGACCGGAATATTCTTCCTCGATTCAATGATTATCGGTTTGAATCAATCATTAAAGTATTTTTACTTAAATGAAAAAAAAATTCGACGGAACGTTTTACAAATCTGGCGAAATTCTATGAAAATTGTAGTACAACACATATTTACTATTATTGGCTAATCTATTGTCTTCATCGCATATCTCAACTTGCCTTTGAAATATTTACCTATATAAAGCAACAATTTTATCAGTAAATAAAACAATATCCTCTTCATCATTTTGTTCTTGATGTTCAAATTGCTATAAGAATTAAAAAAACAACGAAAAATTTTTTCTTTCTATTCATATCAATTTTCATTTTCCTAAGCATAATTATCCGCATCTTCAATAAAATGATCTAATAATGTCAATGTCGTTAGTTCAATTTGTTCAATTCAAAATGGACGAAATTTATATAATGCTTGAGCAGTATATTCCAGAATTCTATCAGTAGGTAATGGTTCAATATACCAACCAATCAGAATATTCGCAATATTCTATGAAACAAAAAACAAAAACATCAATTAATTTTCTTTTTTTGAAACTTCATACAAGAAAAATTTCTTGAAATATTTCTGAATAAATTCTCAACAAGATCAATAATTGTATTGGTAATAACAACCATTAATAGTGCATGATTAATTGATTCAAGAATTTCTTTTAATTGTTCGCTTATACATTGAATATGTGAGGTTAAACATAAAATTTCATGTTCATTTTAAATACTATGACGAAATGCATCGATAAGTAATTCTTTTTGAAAATCATTTTTTTTGTTTTTGTTCGTACGTCATTTAAACGTTCAAAAATCCATTCAGTAAATCTTGAATAAATGAGAAATAGAAAAAAAACGGTATAATTCAAATAATTTTCATTGTCTACTTTGGTTTGCCTTCGTTCAGCATGACATAAACGATTAAGGAAAGTTTACTAATGGACATAGTACGACAAACAACTGATAGAATTATTTACTCACAAAAAAGCTATGAATTAAATGTTTTTGGATGACCGATTAGGTCATTTTTGTGGGGAATTAAAATTTAAAAATTATAAGATAATAAAACGTTTTATTATCTTATTTTTTCTTAGTCAATGCACGAAAATGTTTGGACTATATATATATGTTTTTTTTTTCATGTAACTTCATTTTATTTTTGACTGACGAAGTCAACAGTAGTTGACGAAACGTTTCACAAATAAAATATGATATATTCGGTAGTTTTTTCGTATTATATCAGCTATATTTGATCGTGTAAATAATAATGTATGATCTTCATGAAGAATTTAATTATTAGATGAAATATTTTTTTGAGATTTTATTGAAGGTCGTCTACGATTGTTATTACGAATAAATGTTTTATTTGTATATGATGTTGATGTTAATGATAAATTATTTTCAGATAATAAATGAAGATCTTCATCATCGACGTCTTGATTCATGATAATCTATAAGAATGAAAAAAAAAAAAGGTGAAACCTAAATTTTCTCGTCAACAAATACTATTTAAAATCTTCAAAATTTCGTAGATGCATAGAGAAAATCACAATTCTATTGTTCTATACGAAATTCTGTGCATTCATTGTCAAATTTAAAACATCTTAGTTACTACATATTATTGAATTTCACGAAAAAGAAAAGATTTTTCAACTAGAATAACTAAGTATTAACTAAGAAGTTTTGTTTTGTGTTAATCAATAAAAAAAAACTATTAGAAAAAACTCAACAATTTTATACAAGAATATTTCTTTTAAAAATAAATTTAATACGAACTTTTTAAAAATGGTCTTGACATGAACATTGTCCATTCGGACTGAAATGATGTATGCGATTGGCATCGCTGACAATAATATAGCATTGACGAATTTTTGCTAGAATTTTTGTCAATTGATCTAATATAAAAACGAAAATCATACATTATTGATAATGATTGAAATAAAAAACGAAAGTTAACTTACGACAATCGCCACATATACGAAGGTTTTTAGTTACTTGTATGAACTTCGTATCAGGTTCTTCGATGAAATTATAAGCAATTGCGATCCTTTCACTGTGACCGCAGAGAACAGATAAATTTGTTTCTCCTTGTTTTAATGGACGAGTCACCCATGAAGGATCACATTGATAACCATCTGCAATTGCTTCAGATGTTAAACGTTGAAGTTCTGAAGAAATTTTTGCCGATTTTGGATGAGAATTATCATGTGCGGTGAATTCCTATATGAAATAACATAGTTTCTTTATTTATTTAATAAAGATTTTTTTACCGCATATTGACCCTTTACTTCCGTCTATGTTAATCCTGGTTTGACATTTGTTTTTAATTCTTTTATTTGATTATATCGAAAAGTTTTTGCTAATTCATGTTCTCCCAGTGATGAATATATATTTGCAAGAAGAATTGCTCCTGATATAAGATGGTCTTTTTCATTGGGAAACATAGATTTCATTCGATTGTATATCATTTCAGATAAATTTTCATTTCGATTATTACGTGCACCGGATAATAACGACACTAAAAGAAAAAAGTAATAAAATAAACAAAAGATCAATATTACATTAGAATAAAATACTAACTATACATGACTAAACTTGGTTTGTTTGTTTTTTCATATTCATTGATCAAATTTTCTGCTTCATCAAATAGAAATAAACGACTTAAACAATCAACCTTATATATAATATGAAATATTAAAATAGTTCTAGATAATAAAAAAAACAAGAACAAACCATAGTAGTAAAAATTTTTTCTGTTTTTATAGGAATATCATTAAAAATACTCCAAGCTTCTTGAAGAAGGCCCGAATGAGAACATGCATTTAAAACACAAACATGTGAAACTTCATTACGTAGATTATTCGGCATTTTTCTATATAATTGAATAGCTTCAGAACCCATTCCATTGAGACCAAATGCATTAACTTCAAAAGAAAATTTTTTAATAGTCAAAAAAAACAACATGCATAAAAATAAATATAGTTACTCATTGCAGTATATGTTATTGCATCACGATCAACAATTGATTCGAATACATTTTCTGCTTTTTCAATTGAACTACATTTACCCTTTTAAAGACAAAAATATCTTTTAATCAAACCTTTATTGAGTCTAAAATATACTGCTATTCATATATTTTCTTTGGCTTTATTATCCTAAATAATTATAATCATCGACCTAGCTGGTGAATAATTTCGTTAGAGAATACCTTTTATTTCACTTTGATTATCAAAATCTTTCATACAAAGTCTCTGTAACATGAACAAGTCTTGTCATGTTATGTAATGAGGAGATGCAAGCAAATAGTGAGCCTTCGACTTAAAACTTATGTTAACTGCTTTTTCTTTGAAAAACATAAGTGAGTTACACAAAAACAAAAATAATACAATAGTCGGTGAAAACCAACGATCGATACTCACCCACATACGAATTAATGAATTTTGTATTTGTTTTTTATTCTGAAATTCTGAAGGAATCTGATTAATAATATATTGAGAACGACAAAGCGAACCATATCGTGAACATGCATTGATAACTATACTCCATATGATCTCATCGGGAGAAATATTTTCTTCAAACATTTCTTCTAAGATTTTAAAGCATTTCCTTGATAAACCATTTATATTATAACCATTCATTAATGCACCATAAGTACCAGTATCTTTCTTTTTAATTGACTGAAAAAGATTTTCAGCATTTTGAATATTACCAAATTTCATTAGCAT